ACAAATACTGCTTCATTCGTTTGAGTGGCTGCATAGCAATTCACTGGCACAGGGCCAATGCTACCATCCTGTCCCTGTCCCCAGGTTCTCTGTACTCCCTCTTCCAGCATGGCCCTGAACCTTCCCACCAAGCAGTCTCCTCATACCCCAATCTCCACACCTTCGAGCTCTGTCCTGATTGCTCTCTTTACTTTCCTGCCCTGGTGATAACCTGGTTTTCCACTGAGGAAGCTATTGTTCCTACCTTCAAAGAAGAGGCAGTTTTTTTCTTGCTCACTTCCAAAGTCTCTTTCTCCAGACACCAATTTCAAACCATTTCTCCAGCTTGCTCCCGCAACACTGCCTGTTGCCATCCAACTCAACCACTCAGTACACCTCCTTTATTTAATTATCTCCAACCTCCTGGCCTGCCTTCATTTACTGATGATGGCAGTACCTGTTTTACTGCTTGTATCTGCTCCCCAAATTGGAAACACTCCTGTTAACTTCCATTCCAGATGAAGCATCCAGCCAACTCCTGGCCTCACTCAAACCTCTGACCTTTTATGACCACCCTAACTCAGCCACACTCTCATCCTGAATCTATACCAATGAAACACCTACGAATTCTTGGCTTTTAACTTCTCATTCTCAGATTAGCATTCCTCCCCCACATACACCAACCATTCTTTTATTTATTTAATTTATTTAGTACCAGGAATTGAACCCAGGGACACTTATCCACTAAGCCACATCCTCAGTGCTCCCTTTCTAAAAAAATTTTTTTTTTTTTTTTATTTAGAGGCAGGGTCTCTCTAAATTGCTGGGGCCTTGCCATGTTCCTGAGGCTAACTTTGAACCTTCAATCTTCCTGCCTCAGCCTCCCAAGTCACTGGGATTACAGATGTATGTCACTACACTTGGCTCTACACCAACCATTCTTGACCTCATCAGAACTTCTAATCTATGATTACTGTTCATTAACCTTGTCATTCTCATCCCATCCCTCCTGGCCCAGTTTGGATATTCTGGTCTATTTGATGACTCCTTCCCTTGCACACCTACGTGACTCCATTGCTCTTCCATCTATCATACTCATGTTGAAAACTCAGACCTGATTCTCCATCTGTCCCATACCCATTATTCACAGAAAAGTGACTGAAAAAAATTTGGAGCTTGAATAACTAGTCAATGGGATTATAAAATGGTGCAACTGCTGTGGAAAACAGAATGGAAGTTCCTCAAAAATTTTAAGATATGACTTCCATGTGATCCAGGAATCCCACTTCTGGATATATATACAAAAGAACTGAAAGCAAGTTCTCAAAGAGATATTTGCACATCCATTCATGTCAGTATTATTCCCAATAAACAAGAGGTGGAAGCAACATAAATACCTATCAGTGAACGAATGGATATACAAAATATGCTATATACATACAGTGGAATATTATTCAATCTTCAGAGAAAGAAATTGTGTCACACAATGAAAGATGGATGAGCCTTGAAGACAGTGTACAAAGTAAAATAAGCTAGTCACAAAAATCAAAGACTTCATGACCCCTTTATGAGGCATCTAGCATTGTCAAACTCATAGAACCAGAAAGTGACCGCTGTTACCAGGAGCTGGAGTGAGAAAGAAATGCAGAAGTGTTCAATGGGCATAGAATTTCAGTTTTGCAAAATAAAATAGTTCTGGGTATCTGTTTCACAACAATGTGAATAAAATTAATACAACTGAACTGCACACTTAAAAATGGCAAAGGGGAAGGAGAGGAGGGGAGGGGTTATGGGGATAGGAAAGATGGTGGAATGAGATGGACATCATTACCCTATGTACATGTCTGACTGCACATATGGTATAAAGCTATATCATATACAACCAGAGAAAAGAAAAGTTGTGCTGCAATGTGTATAATGACTCAAAAATGCATTCTGCTGTCATATATATCTAAAGAATAAATAATGTTTTTTAAAATGTTAAAAATGGTTAAGAGGAAAATTTTATGCTTTTTTCATATTTTAATTTTTTATTTGTTCTAATTAATTATACATGACAGCAGAATGCATTTCGATTCATTGCACACAAATGGAGCAAAACTTTTCATTTATGTGGGTTTTTTTAATGCAATAAAACAATTTTTAATGCAATAAAACAATTGGGGTTACCCTTCTGTGGTGGTGCAGAAGTGGTATCTCTCTTCCTCTAGCATCAAACACCCCAGCACATGCACAGTCAGGACAGTCAACAGAAAGCAAGATCAAAAAAAGTTTCTATTCTCTTTGCATTGGCAATTTCAAACTCATTCAGTGGCTTTGAGTCCAGTACAGAAAAAAAAGAAAGCTTAACCAAGGCCCACTTGGATATTTCCATTTCCATCTAATAATCTTCTCTAGCAACAACTTGAAAACAAATGTTTTTTTTCTAGTTATGCTGCTCATAATTCATTTATGCTCATTAATATGCAAATATCAGTTTCTCAGCTAGCAGTGATTTCATGAATTTTTAAGTTACATGAGATAAGCCAGAGATTAAAACTTTAAAGCCAACAATACAGAAGACTGTGAATATAATTTTAATCCCTAGATCAGAAATCTCCAAGTGCATTCATTGGCATCTTCTAATAAATAACCACCTAGGAATTATAAAAGCATCATCTCTGAGTTCTGCCTTTAGGGTAATAATATAGACTTTCTGCAATGGTATTTGTTTGGGGATCATTAAAAACAGTGAAACCAAAGATATTTCTTGTCATTAAACTTGATCTGGGCAAACCTTACAGAGAAACTGCCTCTTACAGAAAAGCTACAATAGCTGGGTATGATGGTACACACCTATAATCCAATTTACTCAGGAACCTGTGGCAGGAGGATTACAATTTTGTGAGACCCTGTCTCAAAAATAAAATTTAAAAGGGCTGGGGTATAGTTCAGAGATGAAACACTTCCTGGTGTAATCCTCAACACAGAGGGGGGAAAAGGAAAAAAATCTACAATAATTTATGGCTATAACCAATATACATGAAAATCATTTTGGCCAAAAGAAAATCAGAAAAAAAGGCAAATTAGAAAAGAGAAATTGGGACACTCTGAACCTAATTCCTTCTGGAACTGTAAATCAAATTCTTGATTAACTCTAAAATAAGAAAGAATAGGCAGAGAGAAGAGTTCTCTACTTTAAATCCTTCTCATTTCTCCTATATATAGAAATAGAATGTAAGACACATAATTTTCAACACCTAGAAACCATATTTAAAAATAAACAGAAGAAAAGTAGTTCTAATAGTTTAGTCCAATACATCTAAAGTATTCTGATACCAACATGTAATGCAATCAATATTTTCAACATTAATAAAACTTTCACATTCTTTTTTTCTTACTGTCTTGGGAATTTAGTAGGTATTTTACACTTACAACACATCTCAGTTTGGACAAGCCACAGATCAAGTGCTAAAATATTGCATTAGTGGCAAGAATATTGGATAGTGCAACTATAGAACCGAAGATTACATGTTCTTCTGACAAGACAGTGGCTAGCTCTTGAAATCCAAGCATTTCCCTAGATGTTGCTATGGAGACTTCTTTTACTGAATTTCTCAAATACCCACATAACAGATTGGGTAGAAGCATTAGCTGCTCCTTCAGATAGACCAGTGTTAATACAACTTTGATCATTTCAGAACCACTGCTTGTAATTTTACAAAATTAATTTGGTACTTACAATTGTTTTCTTTTTATTTCAGCCACAAATTAATGCACTTTTTAAAATTAACTTTCCCTAAAATGATCCATGATATCACAAACTCAATACTTAATATTTGTTAAAAGAACTAATACACATAAAAGTATTTAACACATAAAAGAAGTTTCTGTGTACTACCTAAAACCAACAATAAAGTAAACTAAAATTCATTAGTGAATTCATTATGGTGTCATCTTTGAATTTTCCATTAGGCAAATTCAATATCAAGTACATTACTGTCTGCATCTCCTGGCATCAAAGATACATCTCAACCTTTGAATGTTAAGAGTACAGCTTACCATCCCATTCAAGAGTACCTTCTAGAAACCAATAGAGTAGAGAAAAGGGATTGAGAGGAAGAGAAGAGGGCATGGTATGGGGAAGTACTGGGAATAAAATCTACTAAATTATGCCATGCCTATGTACAAATATACCATAATCAATCCCACTTTTACATATAATTATAGTTAATTAAGATTATAATAATAATAGAAGAGAGATCAGTTGAGGAGAGCAAGTAGATCAGAGGCAGGAAGGACGGAAGGGAAAGGAAAGGTACTTGGAAATGAGATCCACCAAATTAGGTCATGTGCATGTACAAAAATGGCATAATGAATCCCATTGTTATGTATAATTATAATACAACAAAAAATTAATTAATTTTAAAAAATACCTTTTCTCCAGGCACTATCATAAACCTCAGCAGGGAGGCATTTGCTCATTTGTGTTGAACCATTCAAAAGCTGCAGAGGCAGGGCAAAACTCTTGCCCTGATACACACACACGATCACACACATAAACACACAAAAATTAATATATTTATGTACACATATGTGTATGTATTCGTCACAATGCATAGAGAAGGAATTATTTCCTGCTTTTCCAGATGAGGGAATGCAGTATGGAGATAGCAAGTACTGATTCTCAAAACCCAAAATCTGACTCGGGGGGTTTGCGGGGTGTAGCTCGGTGGTAGAGTACTTGCCTAGCATGTGTGTGGTCCTGGGAAAGAAAAAGGAGGGGAAAGAGAGGGAGGGAGGGAGGGAAGAAGAAAGGAAGGAAGGACGGACAGACAAGCAAATAAATATTCACTCCAGACTGAAGAGCAGGGAACAGAGAATTAAACAGATACACCCCATTTTTTTAACCATCCCAGGAGAGACTTGTCACGTGGTTAAAATCACATCACGTGCCTTCAAAGGCAGTCTGGGGACCTTCTCATTGCATGTCCTCACTTGTAAGAGTTCTGAAATCTGCAAAAAGATAAGAATCCACTTACATGTACTCTCTATGAGCCGAGTGTACCGCAGCCGCGTTGCTGTAACGCCACAGGACAATCGCTGATGACAGGACATCCAGGATGGCGTCAAACTAGAAGAAAGAGACATGACTTTAGTGGTTTTCCAGAGTTAATGGGGCATGACTATGAAGACACAGGAGAACTGTGCTGTGATTCAGAATATCTGAATGAGTGATTTGAAGCACTGTTTTCTGGACGCTTTGATGCAGCCATTCAAGATCTTCATGGTAAAATCTGGGGAGACTGGAGCCTCAGTACCCAAGTGCTGACCTGGTAGCAGCATCAGAGCCCCTGTGTTATTGGTGGGATCTGCTGCCACAGCCCCTGACTCTTAGCACTCTGGAAATGTGGGACAGGGTACACTGTTCTAGAAGATGTGGCCCTGGTTTCCCCAAGGCCAGCAAGATAATTTCAGCATTTTCCTGCATATCCCAAGCCAACAATCTTGGGTAAGGATCCTTTTACTGGCTGTCAATGGAACTGCTTTACCTGGGTTCAGGGGTAAGGATAGGAGTCACCCAGAGGCTCCAGGAAGTACACCAACACTTCAATATTGCATACAAAATTCAGCACTTTGTTTGAATAAGAGAAATGCAGAGAGAGAGAAAAATGGATGGAAGGAGAGGGTGTTCAGGGGAAAGGGGAGGTCTTGCTAAAGTGAAGGTGTATATATGTGGTGTGTGTGCAGTGATGCGCATTATTCTCGACAATCCACATCCTTCTTCAGATTCTAAAAAGAATCTGCATGCCCGCCAAACATTAAATTCTTAACAACAAAGGGCAGAAGTGGGTTTGGGAACATGCACACATACCCTCAGGTACAGGAAACCTTACCTCTATGCAGAAGGGATGTGAAATGAGCTCTTTTGTGAGTCATCACACCATGTCACACTGCTCATCCAGAAAACTACAAGCACTGACACTTGAAGGGGCATGGGGAATTGTCACCCAATGCTTCAACATAATAACCCTAACCCTGTAAAAAGAGACCTGCTTTCTCTGACCAACTTCCCTCAGGGGGCAGGCTGAGAATTCAGGCAGTCCTAGTTGGGCTACAGACTGGCTTATCCCAACGTGAGTAGTATCAATCCTAACTCTCAGACAGCTCTGTCTACACCAACAAATGCATCACTCCAGTACAGGCCAGGTCTGCACACAACCTGGAAGAGAGAAAAGGACTGAGATTCCTAAAACACCCTCTCAACTAACCACTTTGTTAAAAATGTGGTTCCCTCCCAACTGTGCTTGAGAAATATAGTCTCATTGCAGTTTAATTCTACTAAATTATAATTTTTATAGAAGCTGTTTCCATAAAAGGTGTGTTACCCATTCCAACCACCCTCTTATTTGAGGGCTTAGGGTGAGACTCATGAGCTTAAGAAAATCGTGCAAAATTTCATGAAAGTACATTTCAGATTACTTACTGCAAACCCAAAAGCAGAGGCGCTGTACCTCATAACGGAGACAGCTAAAAAGAAAGAAAATATTATTCAGAATATTTTAAAACCTCATGGACAATTTCTCTCACTTGTGTGTATATCAATACATTTGATATGGCCTTTTAAACAGTGAAAAAGCTCCAAGAGAATAAAATTAAAAATTAACTGTCCTTGTAAAAATCTGAGAATTTAAAAAAATTGAGAGTAAAAGATTTCCAAACTCTACCTGCAAGAACTTCCCTCCCCAGCATGTTCAGAAGCACCCAAGAGCCAACTTCAGGATAAGCGTGCTTAAGTAGTTGTCAATCAAATGACTTCGGAGACTTTGAGAATTTAGAAAGTGGTGTTGGGGAACTGGAAAATATGCTAAACTTTCAAAGTGAAATTTCAACCATCCAAACTCCTCCCATAATAAGGTAATTATTATCTAGTAATCTAATGATATCTAATGTGCACATTATTGCTAACATACATTTTTTTTTTTTTTTTTTGCCCATTGGAGTTTAGTAGATATCAACACAGCTGTTTAAAAAAAAAAGTGACAAGTGATCTCAGATTAAACAATAGATGTCTGCAGTTACTTAAAACATTTTATCTATATTCAAAAATTAGAGGTACAAGTCAATTGGGTGGCACATTTGTCTAATTATATTTTGTGCCAAAGCAAAGGCCAGCTTTAAAAACTATCCTCAATTTGACTCAATAAAGGCAGATCATAAAACAAAAGCCATATTCAACAAGCAACGCCCACCCTTCAAGGAATGCAACCACCTCTGGGTCAGTAAATCTTGGAAGCAGCTGGATCCTGAGCCTAGGTATTGCAAGTGAGCACAGGTGGGAGGCAGGCACAGAGGTCAGCACCTATATGGACTTCCATTCACCCCAAATGTCCCTTTTTGGGGATCTATTTGCCATCCAATCCCCAAGAACAGACTCCAGAAAGTCAACTGCTTAAGCATTGTGCTGTGTGCCCCTGCTCCCAGCCACAAAGGGGTCAGCCGACCCAAAGTGGAGCAAACATACTCCATTTTCTGTGATTTAATGATTGCTATTATAAGACAGCCTTGTTGGTCAATTTATGTAGTTACAATTGAAGTTGTAAACACTGGAGCCTTCATCAACCCTTGTTTGCTATAAAAAGACTGAGGAGCAGAAAGACAAGCCTGGGAGACTTGTAATGGAGACTAAAATTAGGATACCTAATGTTTCTTAGTCCTCCCTGCAACTCAGCCACACTCCAGGGCTCAAGCTATGAGTGGACAACGACCAACTAAACCCCTCACCTTTCTGTCTTTGTCAGGAACAGCTCCTGGTGTTCCTGCTGTTGCTCTTACTAGTTCAGGGAGGGTCTAGAGCCAGCTGTGCAGTGCCTGGCTGTAGCTTTCTCAGCAATGCAGTACTACAAGACAGTAGTTGGGTGGTATAAAAGGCCACTGGACCTTCCCAAAGAGCATTAATTCCAGGACCCTGTCAATATGTGTATAAGAGGTAGCTGATCCCTGGCAGCACTGCCCTGAGCACGGGAGAAATGCCCTATGAAACTGGCTTACAGTAAGTGCTCAGTCATTGTTAACTAAACTGAACAAAATTTCATCATAGAAGTCATAGAGGGTATTTGGGTTTTCCCTTTATGATCTGTTTTTAGAACATCTCAGATGTGCTTTCTTGTCAGCACAACTGATAAGAAAGATCCTATTAAGATCTTGCACAGACATTATCTAAATGGGATTCAAAGAGAGGTGTCAGGCCAGAGCTCCCACTCTGTCTCCACTTATGCTCTCCAGCCTGGGCACCAAGGACAACACACAAATAAAACAGAGCTCCCCTCACCTGTCATCACAGATCACCTGTTTTGTAAGCGGTAAGCCGTGATTTTAAAATATCTGTATCTGAGTAATTTGTTTACACTAGACATTTATATAGTAGTCCACAGATTTCAAAAAGGTGGACGCTTACATAATTATAGTGAAATATGTAAGAAACTCATTTCATAAATCAGAAATCAAAGGAGATGCCACTAAACAGCCAACTCCTTGACTCTAGGGGAGCTCAATGTCCATGATTTTGAACACTCTAAATTATACTAGAGAGTCTTACTGTGAGAATTATACCTGCCCAGTAGATGGATAACTGAAGCACAATGGAATATTAATATTCTTCTGTCCCCCGTGTACCATGGAAAATGCAAGAGTCCTTAACAGAGATGTATCATTTCCTTATAAATTGCCTCCATCTAATTTCCTTAATGACATGGAAAAGGAGAAATGCCAAAAAATTGCATGGGGAATCAAGAGTACACTGAAGGGCCCTTCACACAGCCTTGGCTCTGATGACTTCCCCATGTGGCCAGGTCCCCAGGTTTGCTGCTAAATAACAGCAAATAGTCATTAGCACAGGACTCAAATGGAAGAGTTCAGATGGCCTTTGAAGAATTTATGAAGAGTATCAAGTAATAACTTCATTTTCTTTGGTCCATAATTCATCACAATATATCCTAATTCTGGGTTATAAGTAATCTCAACAGACAAACAAAGTCAGATGGATTTAAACAGTTCTGTTCTGTAAGACTGCAGGGTAATCCATGGAGCATTTTGTTTTTGTTGTTGTTGTTGTTGGGGGACAGTGCTGGGGGCTCATATCCAGGGCCTCTTGTATGCTAGTTAAGTGCTGTACAACTGAACTATATCCCCACCCCCATGGGGTGCTGAGATATTTCCAGCTTCCCACATGCTACAAATGAGTTTCACCTGGGCCAGGACGATCACCCAAGACAGAGATGATGTGTTAGGGGCCCCTGGAGCTCCATGCACATATGACTGAGCATAGCCAAAAGCCACCATGGAGCCAACAAAGTTCAACATTGCCCATAAGGCAGGTGTTAGGTTCAACAGTGGACAACAGACATGGGACTTGTCAACCTTAAATAATTATGCTGCAAACTGGCAAGATCAACAAAGAGAAGGGAAACCAGGAAACAGTGAAGCAGAGTTCTCCCATAAAGGCTGTTCTTATCAAGATAGGGCCCACAGAGCCCACAGAAGTGATAATGATATCACCAAGGCCATCAGTATATAGGTCCAGGTCCTGTTTAATACACCCTGCAGCTGCTCTGGAATGAAGCCCCTGATATCAGCAATCTATCTTTATCTGGATAGTACTATTGCCAGAATTCCTTAGAGGAATCTCCAAGAATGTTTTTGATATTCACAGTAGAACCTGTCTCCATGCCTCATAATTTTGACATGCACTTAGGCTAGTGACCACCAAGAGCCTACAAGGCATGCTATTATAGGTTGGGGGACCTCATTCAATTCCCCAGGGAGCTGTGGCCTGGGCTTCCTCCTCTGCAGCTTTGCCATTGTTAGGCTGGAATTACAAAAATGTAAATGCATTCTTACCATGCATTGGGGTCCTTTCTCTTTCCTCCCTTTCTGCTTCTCACTTTGGTATCAGGGATTGAACCCAGGGGCACCAAATCCCCAGCCCTTATTATTTTTCATTTTGAGACAGGGCCTAACTCAGTTGCTGAGGCTGGCCTTGAACTTGCAATCCTCCTGCCTTGTCTCCCTAGCTGCTGGGATTACAGGCGTGTGTCACCATGCCCAGCCATCCCAGCTTTTCCTTTTTACTCAGAGTCTTTTAAATGTTCATAGTTATAATTTTTGGTGCTCTGCCCAACATCCAATCCTTCTCCTGGTGGAAGCATAGCAATTCTTATCTGGGGACCTGCACCCGCCCTACTTGAAGTGATATGGATAGGACGACATTTTGCCCACTCTGGTATATCCCATTAACTTGTCCCATGTACAAAGTGAATGATTCAAAGCTGTCTAAATTTGATTTGAGGCAATAAGAATCTCTCCCAAGTTTGTCACAAAGTTTGGGAAGAGGATGACTAAGAGACAATTACACAGCTTATAAGACAAAACCAAGAGCCATAGGTGGTGAGTTTGACATAAATGGGTAAAGACTACCTCAGAATGAAACCAACACAGAGGAAAAGGAAATTAAAGATCAGAGACAGATCAAAGCCCCAAGGACATCAACTGAACCTCTGCAATCAGCCTTGTTGGAAATCTAACCCTCTATTCCTCAAATAGCCTCACTCAATAATTCCTCAAATACATCATCCAATGATTCATTTTCTTAAGCCAGTTGTTGAGTTTCTATGACTTGCAGCCAAATGAATCTTAATACAATACACTTTGACCTAGTAATCCTATGTCCAAGAATTTCTTTTAATGCCTAAAAAATGGAAAATGCTTATATACAAAATATTCATAGCAGGTTCATGTAATTTATAATAGCAAAATGATGAATGTGATAAAAATGTCCAGTAGTAGGGTAATGGTCATGTATGGTCCATTTAAAGAATGGGCTACACATAGCTATTTTAAAATATATAAAAAACTTAATGGCATATTAGTGGCATATTCAGCAAAATAATGAAATTGAAATAAACATACAGGTAGTATGTTGGGTTCCATAGTTCCAGGGTGCTATGGGAAATGATGGGTCTTTTGGGACAGGGAATTCTGGCTAGTGCAGGTGCAAACTGAGCAAGGAGTTCAGAAGAAGCTTTGCTGAAATTTAAGCAAAGACAAAGGAGGAAGGGAGTCAGCCATGTAGTTACCTAGAGAAAGAACCTTGCAGATAATGGAAAGACAATGCAAAGACCCTGAGATAGCCTTCATGGCCTCTGACTTGCCAGGTGCTCTAAGATGAAAGAGAACAGAAAGGCAGTTATGGGAGATTATTAGGATAAGATACAAAATGATGTGATATAACTAGCTCTACAACTGTGCCTTAAAAATGCACCGAAAACCAGGGGGCACGAAATTCCCTCAAATGATAACAGTGGGTAATCTTAGATAGGAATGTTTGAATAGATGCTTTTCTTTTTTACTTTTTGTATTTTCCACATTTCCTATAGCCATCATATTTGACCATTTAAATTGGAAAAAAAAATAGTTTTATTTGCAGGAAAAAAAGTTATCCAACTCATAACAATACAACCCGAGGTCTAAAA